GCGAGGGGCGGGTCCCTAGGAGCGGGCTGGCACCCCACCACCCCTGCTGGCCGGCTCGCCTCCACCTGTCTGCCAAGGGAGTCCTGTGGCAGAAGCCAGCCTCACCCTGGTCCGCTGCCCACGATCTATGCAGGGCAGGGACGCAGTGGAGGGCCCTGTCCAGCAGCCGACCCCTGGGTGACCTGCCACCCGGGCCTGCAAGACTGAGGCACCGAGAGGGGCATGGCCTGGGCCGGGCTTGCGGCTCTTGTAGGCCTTGGCCCCTGATACTTCCTCTCCATGGCCTCCCACTCTACCCTCCTGGGGACACCCCACGTGCCGTGTCCCCTCTGCCACACAGGGCCGAGCCTCGACTTGATCAGGCTCTCCCAGAGCTGGCTGGCCATGGGGCCCTGTGCCACCCTGGCCTCAGGGACAGGAAGCCCTTTGTCCCTCTGGCTCATGGAGCCAAGCAGAGGCTGAAGCAACGTAGCCACACAGAGCCACTGGAGGCCAGGACAGCAAGAAAGGCAGCTCCATGAGCACCGACGGGATGGGACGGTGGCCCTGGGGATTCCTTGCCAGGCGATGGCTGGCCTGCAGAGCCTCACAACAGTGGTTTCTTTCATTTGGCAACCGCAGGAACCCGGGACAACTGCATTCTGGGCAGACTTTGGGTGAAGCCCATAGGCTCTCCGATTAGGGGAGCAGTACCTCTCCTGAGACAGAGTCTCACTATGCTGGCCTTGACCTCATTGGGACCCTCCTGCCTCAACCATCCCAGCAAGCACTGGGACACCACACCCAGCAATCTCCCCACCACTCTGCTGCTCTCTCTGGCCAGAGGAGCAGTCAGCACTGCACAACTGTGAGCCCTAGCTTTTGGGATTAAGGGGTTGCTGAGCAGGGTCCGCTCCCCTCTGGTGAGATCACAGGCCACACGGACATCTCTGGGTGGCCCCGAGGCACTTACGCTGGATGCTGAAGCAGAACTTCTTCTGCTGGTAGGAGATGTAGCTGGACACAGCGCCGAAGAGGGCCATGGCCAGAGCACTGGCCACGCCGGCGATGGTGCCAGTCTCCACAGACAGGCCTGGCATGGGAGGATGGGTGCGGGGTCAGGCCCAGGACGTGGGGGTCTGGCAGTCTGTCTCCCCCAGCCTGCACCCAGTCCTCAGGACAGGCGGCACATTGCCCTTCAGGGCCGCTGAGCACCTCCAGTCTCCGGGAGAGGCTTCCTCTCTGAGAAGCACAAAGGCAGACACGACAACAGTGCCGTCCCATCTGGGACCGAGGGTCCCCACAGGGCTACCAGCCTGGGATCCAGATGCTCAGGCTGCCCTCCCCCCAACCCTGTGGCCTCAGGACTATGGGAACCATGTTCCTCCCAACAGCAAGATCACTGTGCAGACACCCACCGGATCCGGGGTCGTCACTGCTGCCGTAGCCACCGTCACCTGGAGGGAGACAAGAGCACTTAGTATCCACTATGACCCCAGACTAGCCAGTTCCGGGCCTGGTGAAGCAGATGACAGCAGGCTTCTGCCAGACTAACAAGGCCTGCTTTCATCTTTTGTCATTGTTGTCTTGCTTTTCTTTTTTGAGACAGGGCCTCTCAATTTGTGCAGGCTGGGATGGAACTCAGAGGCTGGGATGGAACTCAGAGACTCCTGCCTCAGCCTCCCGAGTGCTGGGATGACAGGTGTGTGCCACCACACTGGGCTACAAGGTCTGCTTTCTTATGCCTACTGCCAGTGTCAGGGTGCTCACTGGTGGGCCACAGAGAGCATCCTTGTGTGGCTGAGGAAGATCACCAGTTCGTGCCCAGTGTGGGCAACTCAGCAAGATCCTGGCTCAAAAATTTTTAAAAATTCTGGAGATGTAGCTCAATGTGGAGGCCCTGGGTTCACTCCCTAGCATATCACACACACACACACACACACACACACACACACACACACACACACCCCAAAAGGAGTTGTCTGGGAGGAGACAATGAAGTTTCTTTTGTTCCCACCTGGGGCCAAGCATTTGCAAAGCTAGGAAAGCTGTGCATAGTCACTGCTGCTGGACGAAGCAGAGCCGGAAGGGGACACGGACACACAGCAGTGTAGAAATCACCGCGTCTGACCGGAGATGCCCACTGTCAGGGCAGGGACGCATCCCCCGGCGCTCCTCCACGAGCCGTTTCATCACTAGATTTCCAGGATTGGACTGAGTGACCTATGCTCTGCTTTCCTAACCTCCAGATAGAAGGCAGCTGAGTGTCCCCAGGTCTCCAACTCCAAGGGTCCCCAGTAACTGGGCCAGGATGTGGACTGGATTCTCCCGGCCCGTGGGCAAGAGGTCCTGTGCAGCTGGGGGAGAGAAGCAGGCACCTTAAGTCCTGCTCCCCTCTGATGGCACCGACTGACCGGAAGTTGGCTGGCCACACAGGCAGGCCATGGCCTCGGCTTGTCCCTACTGGGCTGCCAAGCGCTGCTTTTGCTCCCATAGAACGCACATGGCCAAGTGACAGGTCACAGGTCTCAAACACAGTGCCGCCCTTGGAAATGAGCTCCCAAGAGAAAGAAAAACACAAGACATTTCAGGATGTTTATATCACAACTGTAAATGTGACCCTAAAGCCACGAACCCCAAATGGAAGACTGTATCAAAGGACAAGCTTTGTTGTTTTTGTCCAGGAGCCTACTCCTGGAACAGGGTTCAGGGGTCCCAGACTGGGAGGGCAGGGCGCCGAATCACCAGGCAGACTCCCGGTTTGTGGAAGCTCCCGCTTCATTCAGCAAATGCACAGGTTTATATAGGGTAAGGTGGGGTGGAGCCAGGGTGGAGTCAGGACATTTGGCACAATGTTATTGGCCCCATGTTAGTTTTGGATTGTATGCTTTATGGGCTGCGGTGAATGGAGTCAGGACTTTAGAGGTTTTTGAGAGGAACAGTTTGTCTAAGGTCAGATCTCTACACACCCGAGGGGGCGGATTATTCCAGCCCTAATAGGCCTCCGAGTTTTCTCACGGGAGATGGGTGCGGCGCTCCTGACTCAGCCAGACATTAACCTGATCCTCAAAGCTTCAGCACAGAAAGTGCAAGATAAAAAAAAAAAAAAAAAAAAAGGATAAATTGAGTTCTGTCAAAGTTAAAAACTTGTTTCTAAGGACAGCATGAGGAAAATGAAATGACGACCTGGCCAAGAGACTGGTGTTGGGAAAACAAGGTACTTCCAGGCGGGAGAGGGGAGGAGAAGGGATGACATGGGAGAGGAACGGGAGTGGGGGGCAGATAACCGGGCGCAGGCACAGGCAGAAAAAGGGAACAAGGAGAAAGAAGACAGGACCTGAGGGCCAGAGATACACGGCCTCTGAACGTGCGGGGCCTTCAGTCTGTGTCATCAGAGAAGGGTGAAGCGGAACCCTGAGGCGACCCACGGAAAGGAGAGGGGAGTGAGGGAGACGATGGAAAGAGGCAAAGGAAAAAAGGGAAGAAAAGCTGCTGACAAGGGTGCGGAAAGCCAGGAGTGTCTTGAGCTGCTGGTGGGGACATGACAGTGTCCAGCTGCTGTGGGACACTGCGGGACAGTTTGGTGGCACCTTGCCATGTTGAATGCGGAGTTATGACAACTGTGCTGTGCCCTGCTACGGTTCGGATGTGGAAACAGTTCCCAGGTCATGCGGCAATGCTGTTTGCAGGTGGGGCCCCTCGGAGGGGATGAGGAGGGCCCGACGAGCGCTGGGATTCATGATTAGAGGGACAGAGACCGGAAGCAGCCAGGTCACCGAGCACTTTCTGAAGCCCCTGTTCTCTACTGACACTCGGTAACAAACACAGCACCGGAAAACAGGCCGAGACCACTGCAAACACCCACATACAAAGCTGTACACGGGAGTCCTTCGCAGCACCACTCTTAAACACTAGAAAGTGGAAACAAAGGGAAAATCAAAATACACCGAGGGTCTACGAAGACACGGAGAAAGCACTTCACCTCCCTCGGATTCAAAGATCACAGAAACGACAGCCCGGAGCAGGCACCTGCTCACCTCTGCGTGAGGGTGAGGCCGCGTCCTCCTGCCGGTGGACATGTTCAGGTACGGCTGAATAAAGCCCAGTTTCCAAAGGATAGCACACTCGCTTTATTTTTGAAAAGACAACAGAAGGGTCTTGAGCTGCACTGTCGTGGCTGCCTCAGTGTCCTGAACTGATTTTGAAACGTTTATGAGCCCACCTTTCTGTGGGTGGCCCTAGGCAGCAACGTGCCCCACATTTTTTATCGCACCTTGTAAAGACAGGAAGAAGGGCTCCAGAGCCGCTGCAGAAAGGGGAAGAACGAAGCAGAAGTGAGGGGGATTCATGAAAACGTGTCTTTTACTGTGATAATTTTTTAAAAATATTCACTTTCATTGTATTGTTTCATCACCCCCGTAAGGCTCAGTGTAGAAAAAGTACCCCAAGAACATATGCCAGAGTGTTACAGGCGATTCTTCGTAGACAGTGAAGCAACGAACAAGTATTTGTTCTGTAACTCTAGGAAAGTTTCAAACATGCAGGACCTGTCCACTTCTCCACACAGCAGGTGGCCCGGCCGGATCTTCCTCTCTCCAGAAGCTGACTCTGTGCCCACAGTAAGGTCACAGCTACTACCGGGGCTGCCCCTTAGCAAGGTAGGTGCTGCCCAGCAGGCCTGGGGCTGGGGGCTCTGCAGCTATGGCAACCAGCACTCCAAAGGGACCGGTAGCCATGGTGAGTGCCATCACTATAGAAACCCGGTGGCACCCAGGGAGAGGGTGTACTGCGAGGGCGGGCAGTGGATGGGAGAGCGGCCCCGGATTCCGGCTCCTCCGCTCCGGGCTCTGCTGCCAAGTGGTGACGCTGTGACACCCGCAGCTGGTGGGCTTGGCTCTGCAGCCTCACGAGCCTCTCTCCTTTGTTAGTCATCAGGCTCGGAGACGCTGGCAGTGCGGCACTGTGCGTCAGCCCAGACCCCCGGTGGCCCAGACACAAAGGCAGCCATACACGCAGCGCCCACCTCTGATGGCAGCGCCCTGCTCACCCCGCGCCTGGCACATCCGGTTGCCAAGGACACAGGCATAGTTGTCGCTGATTGCAGAAATGCTGGGGGACATTTGGGAGTGTTCTGGACTCCCCACAAGACTCGGCTAGGGCTCTCAGATATTTTAAGGATGTGTTTTCATTAGCATAAAAGAGTGGCAGCGGAAACACGAAAGAAAACGACATTTACAAAAATACAAAGGAAAAAAAAACTTGCTTCAAATGACCAACGGTTACCAAGTCAAACGGAGCAGAAAAAGGAGGCCAGAAACAGCTGCCTGGGCCAGCTCCATCCCTCGGGGTGACAGGTGACAGCCTACAGGGGACCCGGCCCCTGCTCTCTCGTCATGTGTGCCGCTCTATCTATGCTGTGGGCCATGGGGACCGAGATGGGGACCCCAAACCACAGGTGTCTTACTCTTCCTCACAGGCTGTGAGGCTGCGGAGAATACAGAAGAAGCAACCCTTTCTCTAAAGACCCTCAGGATCCGGCGTCCCAATGCCCACCTCCAGTCCCATCACATCGGAGCTTCCAATGTCTAAACTAGGGGGCACACTGAGTCCATCACAGAAAGGGGCCATAAAATAAACAGAGTAAAAATGGAAGTGTTTTATTCCAAGACTCAGTAAAGAGGATGAATAAAGAAAATGTTAACCATCAATACGGTGACATATTATGCAGCCTGGAAAAGGAAAGAAATGCTGACTCCGGCTAGGACATTATGCTGAATAGAATAAGCCAATCCTGAAAGGCCGACCCACTCCACTTCTGTAAGGTTCCCAGAGCAGCCACACTCTCAGGCACAGGAAGCACAGTAGAAATGACTAGAGGCTGGTGGAGAGGTGGAATCAGAGAGTGACTGCCTCAGAGAGAGCATTTCTGTGTGGGGCCGCTAGGGTTTAGACATGGGAGGCGACAGGGACAGGAGGCTAGGCTAGATGAAGGCAGTACGTCCCAGGGGCGGGAGCTCGGGGACCACAGTTGGACTCTGCACCCTCCACTGCGCCATCTCTGCCTCAGAGCAGACGGCCATTGACTGAATCCTCCACAACTGTGAGCCAGGCAAACAGGTCCTCCCTTACGGTGTGCTGTCCGGAGTTCTGTCAGCCGGGGGAGATGAAAAACGTCAATGGGAGCATGTTTCAAAATGAGCTGGCTGTGGTGGTATACACCTGTCATCTCTGTACCCTGCAAGGCTGAGGCAGGAAGATCTCAAGTTCAAACCCAGCAAGACTATCTCAAAATAAAATAATGATAATAACAATAAGAAGAAGAACAACAAGGTGCCTGCCTCCCCCACACACAAAAGCTTAAAATGGTAAATTTTATGTTATGCATTTTACCACAATTTTTTAACATGAAAAGGTGGGTTTTTTACATTAAAAAAGTTTTTAAGCCTAACAGTGAACC